TACAATCAGTTAAATTTGCTCACTCAAGTTACAAAGCTGACCTGGAAGCTAAACGCAGGTTGAAAGAGAAGAAAGAGAAGCATATAAAAACTAAGGAAACTGAGGAGGCAAAACAACATGTTTTGAAAAATGAATAAGAAGCTGTTCTTGCATCCATTCAACAGGTATGTTATACTAAACTTCATGAAAATTGTTTTGGTAATGTGATTTGTGCTTAATTTTCATTTTTTTAATTATTGCATGAAGTAAAAGTTTGTTTTTTTGCAGATAAAAAACGGTCTATCAGTTGCTGATGATTTAGTTTTTGAAGGAAATAGTGATTTAAAGAAGTGTTTGCTTCAAAAAAACAGCACAAGAAATGAATTGCAGCGAGCCCAGTGTAAAATTGAAACAGGGATGAAAAAAAGACAGGAGCTTGCTGATGAACAAGACGTTTTAGAAAAAAGGAGTAAAGAACTGTCAATTTAGTCAATTTAGAATTATATTGTTTATATTGCAACTCTAACAATTTTGCTTTTAAACTCTATTTTAACTTAGTTGTATTATAACTCTAAAAAAATTATTATTTATTTAGAATTTTATTTTTGAATAAAACAGTTTTTTCAGATAATTAACTTAAAAAAATTAATTAACATTTAATACTTTATTTCTATTACGTCCTTTAATATATATCACAAATTGTAAAAATACTGTAGAATCCTTTTAAGTCAGACTTTAAAGGGAAATTGATATATATTCTGACTTGTAAGTATCAACAGATGTATCAATATAACAAAATTAACAAAAATGATTACTTAACAAAAAAATCTGTGAAAATGTTTTGTTATGTCCGAGTTATCCAGGGTCAGAGTTAACAGGACTCTATTGTATGTTTAACTTTGTTTAGTATTTTAGATATAAGTTATTACTTGCAGGTTTTACATGTAAGAGTTGTTGTTGTAAAGTTAAAGATTTTTTTGTTTAAATTATATTTTGTTTATTATCTACTTTATATAAACGTAAATAATTTCCAAGGGTGTCAGAGGGTAAATAATATATTAATAATAATTGAATTTAAACGGTTAATTCCCAAACTTAAGTTTAAATAATTAAATACAAAAACTCATTCCTAACTTTCGATTGTCCTAAATTTAACACTAATTTGTCCTAAGAAGTCATAAAAAACTTGGAAAAATTGTCCCAAAATCATAAAATTTTATCCTATTTAAGGAGTGGGAGGCCTGTAAGAGTTAATCCTAGTAGCTAATTCATCTAGTAGATTACCGTTCATGGGTGTAGGAAGATCTAGATTATTGCGATAAAAATTAGCTTAAAAAAATGAGAAGTGATATCCTCTTCAAGCTTAAATGCCCCCTCCAAGATACCATCTTATCATGCAACCAAACTTCTTACCAAGCAACCAACTTTTATATCAAGACAAGAATAAATGGTAGTATCATCAGCGAACAATGTCACCTTAGATGTGAAAATATATGAAATATCATTAATATGAATTAAAAAGAGGACAAAGAATAGAATCTTGAGAAACTCCTGAAGTGACAGGAAATGAAGAAGAGTGCTGTCCATCGAGGACAACTTTAATACTACGATTGTTAAGGAAGGATTCAATAATCTTAAAGATGTTACCTGATACACCGTAAGAAAGATAATGGAGAAGCATGCTAAACTTTAACAAAGCTTTAGAAATATAAAGAGCAACAAGAGAAATATCAAGAGCCTTAATCTTAACTTGCACGAAACAAGAGACTTTATTAAAAAAAGGGGTCAATTGCACCCAACGACACCCTACTTTTCCCAACAGTACAGGTATGAAAGTACACCTTTAAAAAAATACTTAAAAATAGAAAACTCACGAAAAAACTAATCTAATCAACTAATTTTTTTTTTTGTCGAGCAAACAATACATTTTTCAAAGAGCATTTCTCATTTTGATTTCAAATATGGAATTCATTTTTCGCCATTACGTCAATTTGTAAAGATATTTGGTTTCGAATCTTTAGTATTTGGGTTAAAATCCGTAATATTGGCAACAAAAAAATTATTCAAAAATATGTCAACCTGGCTCTCAAAAGAAGTGTATCTTAAAAATACTGTTCGTTGGAAATAAAAATAAATACTTTATATATTATGCTTAACAAATAATATAAAAAAATTTGTTGACTTATGTAATTCGTTACTTTTCACCTCTCCAGTTTTGTCAAATGGATAATCGAAAAAAATAGGTCTTGGACGTATTGTCATTTTTTCGGTCCTCAATTTGACAAAATTAGCGTGTCAATCGTAAATAAATTTGGAGGAGCCGTAGCACGGTTATATTCTCCACACTTAAAAAAATAAAATTCAGACAATTTTTTTGAGTAATGTCATCATCATATAAATGATGTATATGATATATATATATATATATATATATATATATATATATATATATATATATATATATATATATATATATATATATATATATATATATATATATTATATATATATTATTTTACATATATAATAATTTACATTTATTTAATTTTAAATGCAGCTGTTAAGCTTTAAAATCAAGAATGCAAAAAAATAAAAAAAATCAACTTATTGATAAGAATCAGAGATTTAAGTCCTGCTCAATGATATTTTTATATTATTGGAAAAAAAAGACACTAAAATCTGCTTTTAAAATATAAGAGTGCAAATCTATGACAAGTCTGTATGCCATGTTCCACTTGTGCCATGTGCCACAACTACTTCATAAATATAGTATTGATTTAGTAATATTTTGCACTGCAGACTTACAGGCTGCTGAGATAAGATTTGTCAGCAAAAGATCTTACTCTGGGATTTGATGCCGTAAGCTAAAATAATTTCCATGTGAATATAGTGTGTTTTATAATTCATACAATAATTAGTTGTATTAATTGACCGGCTTGCTGGATGTACAATTAATACCTATTAGGGTTATATTGCATTGACAATGTGGTATTGACAATACCTATTAGAGTCATATTAAATCGACAATGACAACTATTACAGTCATATTAAAAATGTAAATGTTTAAAAATCAGTATAAGAATAAGTTTCCAATAATGTAATACAATAAATAATGACTTACAATCATTTGTCATTTATATTTTGTAAGCATTTAGAATTTGTAAAAATTTACAGAATTAGCTAAGTCCTCCATTACCACCCCTGATCTTCTTTCGATATGTCTTCATTGTTCTCTCCAAAATCTTTTCTTTAATAATTTTGAATATTTAGATTAGAAATAGCAATGTGTAAATTGAAGTTATAAAAAGCTTGGAAATTCTAGTACCACACAAAGACAATGTATATTAGTAGTTATCTTTTTTTAGGTATTTTTAGAATTCCGTTTTTTTTTTCAACTTTTAGTTTTTTGGATTTCCAAAAAATATTCTGTAAATACAAGTTTATATATGTATTGCAATATAGATTTTTCAGTTATAGTTATCCATACAAAAAATAATAGAAGCTTAAAAAAAATGAGAAAGCCATAAGCCTGAAGTGAAATTAAGACAAATTTAAAGTAAAAAAATTCTGAATTTTTTCCAGGATTTTTTTTGCAAAATGTTTTCTGGATTTTTAAAATATGATTGGATGATCATTGGGAGATTTTGTCTTTTTGGTTGGGACTGTGTAATGATATAACACAATCCTAACTAAATACTGTTTTTTTACGACCCTGTCAACTGGTCTCTGCTAAATGATAATATTAGGCTGGGGGTTGTTAGCCATTTTTGTTATCATAAAAAGTTTACTCAAATAGATTGTTTTTCAATTATTTTCCATTGTAAATTTGAAACTTTATAATTTTTTTTTTAAATAAGTCTACTTTAGTGCTAAAAAAGAAATGCAAAATAAGTTCAAATAAAGTTTGAAAGTTAACAGAACTGAGTATGTTGTTTGAAAACAGGTATCCATTAATGATTAGTGGGATAATGATAATAGTGGGATACTTATTTTAATGTGTTAACACCTATTAATGACTGAAGATTCGGCCAGTGTATGCCTAATTGCCTAATGTTTGCAGAATTAGCATTGATATTAGGCTTTTTTTCTAATGCTTTTTTTATAAGGTGATTTTTTTTTTAATAACTATAAGTTAATGTAACACACTGCTGTTCATAATTATACGAATGACATTAACTTTTTTTAAAAAAGTTTTTTTTTATTTAACTATTTTGTTTATTAGATAATTTAAAAAACATAAAAGTATTTAAAATGCTTTAAGAAAAATCTTAAGAATAATTAAAATGCTAAAAAATGTCAATGACTGGAAATGTAGACCGAAGTGTCTATGTTTTAAATTTTTGGTTTCAAGAAAAGATTGTCAGAAAAAAAATCGCTAAATGTATAATTAAATGTGTGTTATTGACTGTAAAATATGGTAAATGTAGTGTTAATGTGTGGAGCTGTTTTGGTCATTATATATATATATATATATATATATATATATATATATATATATATATATATATATATATATATATATATATATATATATATATATATATATATATATATATATATATATATCAGGGACTATTCTAGACCATTTTTGACAGTGTCGACCATATTTGGGCGCCACCCAAATTAAAATGTTAGGACCTTTTTTCTTTCTTTTTTTAACGTTTGTAACAGCGAATATTGTTATTTTTCGCAAAAATAACGCTGATTTTCTGCAAAAGTATGCCGGAACAAAGAGTACCGCCACACTAATTTTTTTCCTAGAATAGACCCTATATATATGTATATATATATATATATATATATATATATATATATATATATATATATACACAGACACACATATATATGTATATATATATATATATATACACACACATATATATATATATATATATATATATATATATATATATATATATATATATATATATATATATATATATATATATATATATATGTATATGTATATAATTTTTATTATATATTTATCTTGTTTATTTTATATATATATTTGTTTTATATTCTAGAAAACAGTAGAACATAAAAGTGATATTTTGAAGTTTCAAAAATGGCTACCATTCTCCAAAAAATAGCAGAGATAGAAGCAGAGGTAAATATAAACATTTATATATATATATATATATATATATATATATATATATATATATATATATATATATATATATATATATATATATATATATATATATATATATATGTATATGTATATGTATATGTATATGTATATATATATTATATATATATATATATATATATATATATATATATATATATATATATATATATATATATATATATCACGGGTACCCTGAAGGTGACCTAAGACCTTATATCATATCCCATGAATTTTTTTTTTTGATTTTGAAAGTAGTCCATGAGCACATTCCAAAACTACTAAAAAGTAAATCATTTTTTGGTAGCTTTTTGAGAAATCTAAGCTTTAAGACATGTTTTAACTAGAGATTAATGCCCCTCTGACACGCCCTAAGACCCCTGCAAGTGGATTAAATAGCTGTATATAATTTGTTTGGTTGTTTGATCTAGTGGATTGACAATTTGAGGATCGTATTTTGATATAAATTCTGATAATAATTTGGGCATTCTAGTCAGAACATTGACTAATTTATCACTTCTTAAAAGTTAGCTTTCTTTTTTATTGAAGAGGATAATGTAGGTCTACAGGAATACAATGCCCATATAGAATCATCTTTGGATTTGTAATGAAAGAATTCTAAATAAAATAGTTTTATTTATAAAAAAAAAAAGGAAATATTTACTAACAAAAAATACTACATTTAACTATAAATGCATTGTGTTGTACACACAGACAGCTCTTCGCAAGACTTCTTTAAAATTGGCGTTGTGTTGTCCTACCTTTCGTATTTCCCAAAATTGTTTGAAGTCTTGATGGACTGATTCCAATGCTTGCTCAGTCCAATACCCTAAACCTTAATTCAAAATATTTAATATTATTATTTATATATGTTAAAATTTAAAAAGTTATCAGTTAATTTTCTAAATATGCACTTACCAAACTTTCCTCCTTTCATAACAATAAACTCTTCAACATGATGCTCCACTATATGAACTTTAAGAGGAATGTTTGAACCAAGATCTCTGAAACTTTGTGAAAATCTTTTAATATAATCAGAGTAGTTTGGATTTAATATTTTCCCAAAACACCCGTGAACAACATCGCTAAAGTCTCTCAAAGCTTTCATATATTTGCCACCAATAATATTGTGCTCATCCAGATATATTTGAAAGCAATCAAGTTTTTTTAAAAACTTGTTGGATGCATTTCCTTCTAACCTGTGTTTACCTTGATAAGATACTCTGGCAAGATTAATTGTAGATAGATAACTATTTACAAAATTAAATCCTTGATTAGTGTCCTCAAACAAGTTTTTTTCAATTATTTTGAGTAACTTGTCTACTATGCCTAGCAAAATATGTAAGCCTGGTATATTAACAATTTCTAAGATCTTCTTTGTTACATTTCCAGTCAATAAAGGAGGATTAACTACGTTACTAAAATTTTTAGCTTTTGCAATGTTTCCTCCTGCAGCCATCCATTTGTTACACCACTCACACAGAGAAGTTAGAGAATATGACTTAGCTCTCAGCATATTTGGCGATTCTGTTTCACAAAATGGGCAAGGATGCTTCGAAGCTGCTGACTGCTTTCCAACCATCAGAAGAAGAACCTTTAGATCTTCTGAAATAGAGTAATCCAGAGAATTAAGTTTTAATTTATCCAACAACATTTTTATGTTTGCATAATTTTCATCAATAGAGGGTAATACCGCCAAAACTAAAGTTTTGTGAACACTAGTATACTTGAATTCTTTAAATCCATACTCATCAGAATATTTCACTCTTTTCTTTTCAATTGAATGTACTTCAAGCTCTGGCTTTAATGTGATTGATAAAGTAACCTTAAGATAGCCTTGCCCTCCATCTACCCCAATCTTAACATCAACATTCTCTGGTTCAAGAGATCTACGTCGCAAAACTGTTGCAACAAACTCATCAACATTATTGCAAATTACACCAGGAATAGTTCTTTCAATACACTAAATAATTACAAAACAACTTTAAGTCCAAGGATGATGATTTATTTTAAATTATCAACTTTCAAATTAATCAAATACAAAAATATAAAATTAAAATGTTGCATAGAATAATATTTTATTATAATATATTATTTTTATAGAGCTTTTTAAGAAACTGAAAATCTTTAGTTAAAGTAAAACACTATATATATATAAATATATATATAAACACTATATAATATATATATATATATATATATATATATATATATATATATATATATATATATATATATATATATATATATATATATATATTATATATATATATATATATATATATATATATATATATATATATATATATATATTTAGTCATACCACTTTTTTATTATCTCCAGTATTCTGTTTTGACTGGATCAGCATAAGCTCAGCATCAAACAAAAACAATAGATTTTTGTTTTCTTCGGTTAACTTTTCAGAATAACAAGGCTCAACAGATTTTCTTCCTCCATTCACTCGTATAAATCGGGCAATTTCTAACATCTTATTGTCACTAGTAAATTTGATACAATGATAAAAACAGTAAATGATTTTTTAAAATAAATTATATTTCTTGAATTTAGTAGTAGACAATCTATACCTTGTATGAAGTTTGCTCTGTAGTTGTTTCAGTTTTGAATGTGAAAAGTACGGTGTTTTCGGTTCAACTACTCCAATAGAAACAACAAGCTTCTTAGGGCCAAAGGTGTTCAATGTTATTTTTGCATCATGGGTTACTAAATTGTTGATTGTGGTGGATAAAACCTTTTCTTTAGTAACAGGTGAGGTTGATTGTACAATATGCATCAAATTCCTTTGCTTAGCTAACTTTGTGCAAGGATGTTTAATACCTTTTCCTATTTGTTGAAAACAACTTCTGCAAAGAACAAGATTTTCATTGGTAGTCGAAAGATTCAAATTACTGTGACTTTGATCAATATCTGCATTAGTTTCACAAGATACCATTGGTGGAAGAGTTGCTGTTTCAGTACCATTTTTACGCCCATTAACACAAATAAAACACTCACATTTCTTACCTCGAATAACTCTAGTATTAAGACCTAAAAGTAATAAAAAGTTATTTTTTTAGTGCAAACAAAATATTGTTTATAAGAAAAACAATAATAATGCAAAACATAATTGGTTTTTATTGGCTTATTTTCTTATAAAACTTACCTTCGTACTTAGGTCGAGCCTTGAATAAAAATCTTTTTAAAACTGTTTTTTCTAAACTCACTAGATTTTTTCTGCAATTAGAACATAACATTTTAGGCAGATCCGGGTTTTCAACAGAGTAGTTTTCCCAAAAAAATCTCTTGATAAGATTTTCATAATTTTTTGCTTGTTTTGGACCTGGTTTATTGCATTTGGTTTGAATGCATCTTAAATCATTACTTTTTTTCATACAGCATATGCAAAAGCATTTTAAAAACTCGTTATGATCTTTAGCAAAGTATGTTATTTCTTTTCTATTATTGAGAAATAGTTCCTATATTTTTTAATCGGCTTTTAAATTCAAGTCAATATAAGTATTTTACTTAATTAATTAAATAAAATCGCTGTTATTGCTAAAATGTGTTTATAAATATTGTTAAAGTCTTTTAAAGCAACAACAACTATAAGCCAATCGGAAACTAAAAAATATTATTAAAGCCAATCACGCTGCTGCAATTGCAGAAAGTAAACAACTATAATGGCTGACGGGAAAGTATTATTTTAATACAAAAACATCGTTATTTATAAAACTTCTTACTAAGTTTTCTAAAAAAGCTACCAACAAATGATTTAAATTTTGATAGTTTCAGAATGTACAAATGTACTACTTTCAAAAACAAAAAAATTTCATGGGACTTGATATAAGGTCTTAGGTCACCTTCAGGGTACCCGTGATATATATATATATATATTCTTATAGTGTAGTCGAAAGAGTCTTTTAATGTAAAAAAAGTCTCTTTCGACTACAATTTTAATTACCTCGTCTCTTAAGCTGTTTTTGATTGTCGTCGAAATGTCAAAGCAATTAAATTAATGCGGAAGTACATTAAATTTTATTGTTTTTTAAAAAAATTATAAAAAACCACAATTATAACGACTAGAAAGTTTTTTTTAATTAGTGGTGTTTTTGTTTTATTTAATAAACATTTTTAAAACATGCGTTAATGTTGCTACATCAACTATCTTATAGCCTGACTCGCAACAGAGTGCTACTACATCGACTGACAAATAGCCTGACTCGCAACGGAGTGCTGCTACATCGACTGACAAATAGCCTGACTCGCAAGGGAGTGCTGCTACAACGACTGACAAATAGCCTGACTCGCAAGGGAATGCTGCTACATCGACTGACAAATAGCCTAACTCGCAAGAGAGTGCTGCTACAACGACTGACAAATAGCCTGACTCGCAAGGGAGTGCTGCTACATCGACTGAGGGTTTGGTTTGGGCAGGCAGTCTATCAATTTAAAAAAAATTTTGAATTTTTAAATATTTTCTGGTCTGGTTTATTAACGCGCTCTTTAAAACTACAGTTTATGGGAAACTCTTTTTGACTACCATGCAAGAGTATATATATATATATATATATATATATATATATATATATATATATATATATATATATATATATTACAGTAAAAATCCTAATTCTTATAGGTTCGGCACTGTATTCCTCATATATATATATATATATATATATATATATATATATATATATATATATATATATATATATATATATATATATATATATATATATATATATTAGGTACGTGAATAAAATTTATTTGAACACTATATCGTTATATATCATTGGAAAGAGATTCAATACATTTTTTAATGGATAAATAAATTATCAAAATTGAATAATTTGTTCAAGAGTTATGGCAGTTTAAGTACAGATCTTGGATTTTTTGAAGAAACTGTGGTCAAAATCATATTTTTCTTAACTTAAATTTTTATACCTTTGTCAATTCTTATCAAAATACAAATATCTTGGTTTCAAAAAATAGGTGTAAGGGTTACAAATTTATGTTCTAACCACTAGGCGTATCAGATGGACAGAGGGGCACCAAACCACCACCTTTCCTGTATGAAACTGAACACTTTTTTCATCAAAAAAGTCTTTTTTAAGACATTAACATTATAAATATTCAAAAAAGTTATTATAAATTTATACTTTATACTTAACCATCAAAATATATAAGAAATATATAATATTAGCGATAGTAGTGAGTGTGGTAGTGATGGTTTGATGCACCCTAGTATCAAAAATCACTTGATTTTATAAATATTTATATCTTTACTAAAATGAGTAAAATAAAATACAATATAAAGTTATGTTATACAAGATTTTACCTATATGAGTGTTGTTTATATTAGCCCCACCCTACCTAAAAAAAAAAAGATAAACCAATGCAATTATGAATATACTGTTAATATACTGAATATACTGTTTATAGCTACCTTATTTAGTAGGTCATCTATTTTAGGACAGGGGTAAATCCAGTGGAGTATATATATTTATGGTGTTGGAGACGTCGATTACTAGACAAGGTTTTTTTGATAGGTTTGTGACAAAATATTGGTATCTCTTGGGGCTTTGACTGATTTGAAAAACATCGTTTAAAAGCCGAGTTATTTCACTATTAATAAAGTGTTGCGTTGGAATGAGTTGGGACGTGTCGATTCCAGGAATAAGTTCACACAATTTACATTTCATAGAAGATAGGGCAAGGCAGAATTGAATTGATTCATTTTTTCCTCCAAAATGAAGTGTTAGAGCTGAGTGTTTAAAATGTATATACTGATAATAAGAGGTGATACTAGTTGTTTTACTATAAAGATTTTAGTTGAATATGAGTGGTTTCCTATTATTAAGGTACTGTCATATTGGATAATAATTTGTGCAGGTGAATTATCTGCAAGACAGATTGATTTCCTGATATTTGTGTTAAAGTTAAGATTGTTCTTAGACATAAAATCTAGAGAGATAAATGATAGATAAGAGCCTGTGTCGATATGGGCATGTACTGGTATTCCAATGACTATTGTATTTATCAGACCTGATTTTTGATTTATTGAGGATTTATTAGGAGATTGTGGCCTTATGTGGGATGTTATCTTGGTTGATGTCATTATTGCACTCATAGTTTGTTGCCGCACCATTTATTGGTGTTTTATTTGGATGTTTTGGTTTTATGCTGTTGTTTTGATTTAGTTTGTTACTTAAGCAGACAGCTGCCCAGTGTCCTTTTTTTTTTCACAGGTATTGCAAGTTGAGTTTCAGGCATTGCATTGGGACCTGTCATGTCATTGACCCCCACACCAAATACAAGAGTGTTTTGTAGCCGTAAAGTTAGGACGTTGTTTAGGTAAGAAAAAAGTTTTAGTGTCTTCAATTGCTAGTTCCATAGTTGTTGCTGTAAATAAAAGTTTTTCTAGTGAGTTGTTAGATGATTCTAAGAGACGCTGAGGAATCATTGGAAATAAAAGGCCAGCTACAAATGCATCACTTATTAACATTTTTTTATGTTCGTTTGCGGTTAGTGGTTTTATGGGGCATTTTCTTACTAAAGTTTGTTATTTTTTCATGAATTGGTGAACAGACTCTGATTCAAGTTGTTTTGTTGATCTTAGCTTGTGGCGCATTATTATTGGTGTAGTTTTTTTGAAAATTTATTGTCTAAAATAGTTGATGTATCTTCAAAATTCAATTGATTCTCGATGAGTGGGAAGGATTTAGCACCACATAGAACAAATAAATTTATCTGTATCTAATACTTTAGCTTCTAAGATATATGTTTGTAGCATTTTTTTCCATATAGGTTTTCTTCTTCTAACGGTTTTGACGGAAAAAAATACATACTTAAACTTTTTAGTCCCTGTGTAATAAGATAATATAATAAAATTGTTGTAGACCCTATCAAGACTAATGCAAGGAGTTTAGTAGTAAGGTTTTTATTATATTATCTAAAATATAAGGGAACACAGTATACATAATATAAATATAATATAAATATAATAACGCAATACTGCAATAACACAATATCACAAAAACCATACACTTCCCGTATGTCAAATACGGGAAGTGTATGGTTTAAAACATACGGGTCATTAGAGATTAGACAACTAAATTTTTTGTGAGAATAAATAAAAATTTGATCTTTGTTTTAACTAATATTTTGTAAAAATCTATTCCATACCCGCGGGCTTTCCTGATATTTTACAATCCATCCTTGTGGGAATCCTGCAGAAACTGAACCCATCGCCACAGGAATCCCAACCCTATGCAGCTCTCTGAACTAGGCAACAACCTCCTTATCAATAATAAATAACTCTAATTAAATACTAAGAGTAAACAGCCATGTTATACAATAATAAAACATACAACAAGAATTTAACTTATTTGATCCTTTTTCGATCAACTTCATCCAAAAAAATAATTAGATTTTGAAAAGAAAAGAAAATAAAGAAAACTTTTTTACAAAGAAATACAAGCATTTTCATACACTATATATATTGATTTCTAATAAAAAGTATAACTATTATGTTATTGAAGAGATAAAATAACTAACTGATTGACAGAGATAAAACAATCAACTTTTGTTGACTGACTCAGCCATTGGAATACTTTGAGCAGCTAAAACAGTATAACAAATGTTTTTTAGTTGTTTATCTCTAACAAATAACCTATTGAAAATATATTATTTGTTAGAGATAAAACATTTCATCACTAATCT